TTCCTATGGGTCGTAGCGCAAAAATACGGCCAGATTCGTTTATATCTCGTCGAGACGCATCGATTCCATGTATCGAAAATTCGATTTGAGCGAATTTTTTTTCGATTTAGAAAAACTCGATTTTCTCTCTTTCTATGGGTCCTAGCGTGAAAATAAGGGTATTTTCGTCCATATCACCGCGAAACGCATCGATCCAACATATAAAGCAGGGTATAGGTGCATTTTTTTTTTCAATTTATAAAATTGCGATTATCTCGTTTCCTATGCGTCGGAGTGCGACAATAAAACCCCCCAATTTTTTGCTAGCATTCATCCCATTTTCATCCCTTTATTTCGTTCCTAACCATGCCTACAAACACCATGCTTATACACATACCCCTTTCTCAATTCCAGCTTCATCCTTACACCCACCCTCTACCTTCACGCCTCTGCCCAACCCCTAATTTAGCCATTCACCCTCCCAATCCTATTTATTCGTATCCCTCCATTGGGATATTACTCGCCCAAAAGTCCCTCCTTCGTCCGCTCCTGATCACTTCTGCCGTGAAACTCATTTTTCCCTTTCCGAAATTGAAAGGCCCCACTATCGCCATCTGCCTAATTTTAATTTCTCTAAAATTGACAGCTAATCGCTTCGTACTCGCGAACCTAAATTCCGGGCATTCAGTGGATCGAATCTTTCCGGGAAAAATCGCGAAAAATGTAATAATTGTGTGCACGGGCCGGTAATTGGGTGTCGCGAGTGAGAAGTGGATGTGTAAATTGTGGGGAGTGTTTTTATTCCGCAGTGATTGAGCCGCCATATTTTTCCCCAAACGATCATTGGAGAATTCATCTTGGTGAAATCTAGGGGGTCTCTTTGAACGTCATTTACACGTTCATTCCTCAATTTCCCACCCCTGAGACCTAATTACCGGCCCGGTAAACATAATTATCTAGCTATTGACCCTACGATGATATTTTTTGAGGGTCTACAGGGGCGGGTATTTAGTTCCCCGTAAAACGCGTTTTTTCTAGGGAATTTCCTAGGGACATGTCGGGCAAAAATCCCTCCACCCGGGCCTTAAATTCGTTGCCCCCATGTAACCCTTAACAAAGTCCAATTAATTCTTGACCAAAAAGTATCAGGAGACCATGAAAATCGAGGAGGTATTCAGTAAAATTTGAAAATTAGAAATTTTTAAAAAAATATCAGGGGAGCATGAAAATGGAGGAGGTATTCACTGAAATTTGAAAATTCGAAATTATTGGCGATACTTTTTCAAAAATTTCGAAATTTCAAATTTCAGTGAATACCAATTTCGTAAAGCAGAAAATAACCGTCACCCCGTCGACTGATCCGTCTGACAGCAGGACTGCTACTGAGGCAGTTACCGAGTCGGCTGACAGACAGACACCCCATCATTGGGTGCGGCCCCCTCTTTCTCTCCGGGTGAGGTACTACAATGCCGGTGGGGTCACTCAAACCCCCACTGAGCGGCTCAGTTCTGGGGGAGTACCCCACCCCAAGAGAAAGAGGTGGCCGCCCCCAATGGTGGGGTGTCTGCCCGTCAGTCGACTCGGTAACTGCCTCAGTAGCAGTCCTGCTGTCAGAGCGACCAATCAACTGGGTGAATTTTATTTTCTGAAAATTTAAAATTTTTCAATTTCAGTGAAGACCCCCTCAATTTTCATGTTCCCCTGATACTTTTTCAAAAATTTTGAATTTTCAAATTTCAGTGAATACCTCCTCGATTTTAATGTTCCCCTGATACTTTTTCAAAAATTTTGAATTTTCACATTTCAGTGAATACGTCCTCCATTTTAATGCTCTCCCGATACTCTTTTGAAAATTTTGAATTTTTCAATTTCAGTGAACACCTTCTCAATTGTCATGCTCCCCTGATAATTTTTTGAAAATTTCGAATTTCTATATTTCAGTGAAGACCTCAATTTTCATGTTCCCCTGACACTTTTTCAAAAATTTCGAATTTTCCAATTTCAGTGAATACCTCCTGAATTGTCATGCTCCCCTCATACTTTTTCAAAAATTTTGAATTTTCAAATTTACCTGAATACCTCCTCAATTTTCATGTTCCCCAGATACTTTTTCAAAAATTTTGAATTTTCACATTTCAGTGAATACCTTCTCCATTTTCATGCTCCCCCGATACTTTTTTGAAAATTTTCAACTTTTCAATTTCAGTGAATACCTCCTCCATTTTCATGCTCCCCTACTTTTTCGAAAATTTCGAATTTTCAAATTTTAGTGAATATCTCCTCAATTTTCATCCTCCCCTGGTAGTTTTTGAAAAATTTTGAATTTTATAATTCCAGTGAATACCTCTTCAAATGTCATGTTCCCCTGATACTTTTTCAGAAATTTTGAATTTTATAATTCCAGTGAATACCTCTTCAAATGTCATGTTCCCCTGATACTTTCTCAGAAATTTTGAATTTTTTAATTTCAGCGAATACCTCCTCAAATGTCATGCTCCCTTGATACTTTTTTGAAAATTTCGAATTTTCCAATTTCAATGAATACCTCTTCGATTCTCATGTTCTCCTGATACTTTTCCAATAATTTCGAATTTTCCAATTTCAGTGAATACCTCCTCCATTTTCATCCTCCCCTGATACTTTTTCGAAAATTTCTAATTTTCAAATTTCAGTTAATACCTCCTCGATTTTCATGGTCTCCTGATACTTCTTGGTTAATGGTTATTTTGTTTTGGTTAAGGGTTAATTGGACTTGGTTAAGGGTCATATGGGGGCGAAAAATTTAAGTGGCTCCATAAAATTTAAAAATTTCAGTGACGACCAATTCTGTAAGTCAGAAAATATCATCCACCCCATCGACTGGTCCCTCTGACAGCGGGACTGCTACTGAGGCAGTTAGCAAGTCGGCTGACGTGTATACAGATACACCCCAGCATTGCGTGTGGCGCCCTCCCTCTTTTGGGGTGCAGTACTACAATGCCTCTGGGGTCAGTCAAACCCGCAGAACTGAGACTCTACTTTAGTCAATCCTCTTTGGGTGGACTCTTGTGTGGACATCGAAGTGACAATAATATCCGAATAAATCTTTATCGATATCTTGTGTTATAACTTTTGCAATCTCGAGGAAATAAAGTTGGCCCTTGACTTTCCAGTGTGTGTTAAAAACATCGAGACATCATGGCTATGTCAAAAACCACAAACACGTACAACAGACAAAATTGGGAAGACGCTGTATGTTATCTTGCATTTGGAAATGATATATTATTTAACTTTCTTCGTGGATTTTTAATAATTATTGGCATTTCAGGAGTTTCCTATTCTCTGTCAAACATGCCTCGGAGACAACCCCTATATACGAATGGTGAGTGATCCTTCAGTGATTACTAATTGGTGATAACCAATTTCTCGTAATGGCGTCCCAACAGAAATGTCGGGCACAAGCCCCTTCTGACAATTTCTTGAAATCGATCTTCTTCAATCACTCTGGTCTTGTCCTGTCCTGTTTCGACAAAAAGAACAATTTTTTTTGGGAATTTCTGTTCCATTTTTCCTAAGAACTCATAATTTCTTCAGAATTTACAAAAATATGCAATTAACAATTTCTTCCTTAATTTCAGACGAAGGAAAAATACGGAAAAGAGTGCAAAATCTGCGTTCGTCCATTCACAGTATTCCGTTGGTGTCCAGGTGCGAGGATGCGTTTCAAGAAAACCGAAGTGTGTCAGACCTGCAGTCGCCTGAAAAACGTGTGCCAAACCTGTCTACTAGACCTTGAATACGGTCTGCCAATTCAAGTTCGTGATGCTGCTCTGAAAATCAAGGATGACATACCACGATCAGATGTAAACAAAGAGTACTACGTGCAAAATATTGACAAAGAAATCGGTAAGATTGACGCAACGAGTCCAGCAGGAGCAGTTGGGAAATCAGCAGCAGCCTCAGATCTTCTGATGAAGCTCGCGAGAACGAGCCCCTATTACAAGAGAAATCGTCCGCACATATGTTCTTTCTGGGTCAAAGGAGAGTGCAAGAGAGGAGAGGAGTGTCCATATCGTCACGAAAAGCCAACAGATCCAGACGATCCATTGGCAGATCAGAACATCAAGGATCGTTATTACGGTACGAATGATCCAGTTGCTGATAAATTAATGAGAAGAGCAGCAGCGATGCCAAAATTAGAACCACCCGAGGACAAATCTATTACAACCCTTTATATTGGTAATCTTGGTGATGTACTGACTGAGAAACAGCTGAGGGATCATTTTTATCAGTATGGAGAGATTAGATCTGTGACGATGGTACCACGGCAGCAGTGTGCATTCATACAATACACGCAGAGAAATGCAGCTGAAGCAGCTGCTGAAAGAACATTTAATAAACTCATACTCGGTGGAAGAAGGTTGACCATCAAGTGGGGCAGGTCTCAGGGGAGACAGACAGTGTCTGCTGCTGAGGCAACCAGAGAAATTCTCGAACCCGTTCCTGGATTACCAGGTGCTCTTCCACCTCCACCAGAGGCTATGGGCAACAATTTTTTCAATCTTCAAGCGACTCCTGGCATGATGCCTCCTATGATGATTCCACCACCACCTGTTGCCCCTCAATTCACTATGTTCCCACCACAGATTGCTGCTGCTACAGCGACTGCTCCCATTTTCCCACCTGGAACTGCTCCCATTCATTATCCCAGTCAGGATCCGTCCAGAATGGGAGCCAGTCAAGGTATTGGCAAACCCTGGCCTGAAGAATAATGCAGATTTTAAGGATTTCAGCGATATCCTCAGATCATTGTCAATGATTCTTCATTTTTATTTTTATGTACATAAGTGTGTGGATTATTATCTCCATTTGTCGTCATGAGGAAGTGAATTTTCCTCGGTTCGTTTTTTCTGATAAAAATAAATCTGTTATCGATCCTTAAGTGTGAAGAGTTATTTATTAATTGCCATTCCAGTAATATTTTCATCATTTTTTTTTAATGTTCGGAACAAATCCATGATCATTTGCAATTTATCAAGTTCACTCTGCCAGAGAATATGCATGCCTTACGAGAAGAAAATGAATTTGCCCAATTTCTACTACCTGTTGAGGATGAAACATTGAATAGCAACGAATGCAAGATATATTTAGCAGATGAGTGTATAGCACCTCGAGATGGAGATATCGCAGAGGATTTATATGGGGAGGTGATAAAACATTCGCAAATGCATTTGAAAATGCCAATTTTATCAACGTCTCGGTTGCTTCAGCGACCGCGGCAGCGCTAATAAAATAATTGCACAGGACCGTCAATGTCAAGAACAAAAAACAAAACTAGCGCCATTTGAGAGCAGTAGAGGGGGAAAAATCCCAGCCTTTGTTGTTGTATTGCTGGTGGCTGTAGTACACCTGTCAAGGATCAATAATCGATCAGTAATTAGTGCTTGTCATGCTGTCGTCTAGATAAACTATGAGGTTTCCATGATTTTCGTCGAAAATTTCTGTGACATTTCATGGCTTATAACCTCCAAGATGACTCAGAGCTAGATAAAGACACGGGGAATGTTTACAGTATTGTTCATCAAATTGAATAATTTATCCGTCAATTGAGGGGATTTATTCAAAATGCATCGAGTCGATATGAAAATTGTACTTTTGGGGGACGGGGCTGTGGGAAAAACAAGTCTCATGGAGAGATTTGTTAATGAGAGGTTTAACGAGTCACTCAAGTATCAAAACGTAAGTTAATTTTGATAGTAATGAGATAGATGATTAATTTAGAAAATTGATTTTAAGACTATTGCAGCAGCATTTGCATCTAGACAACTCGAAATTAACGGTGAGAAATTAGTCTTAGGAATTTGGGATACGGCTGGCAGTGAACGGTAAATTCATTTATTTATTATTAATTAATCTGGTGTTATAATTTTTTCTGACCATTGACATAGAAATTGTTAACTGCTTAGTCAAAAAATGTTTTTTTTTCTCGTCATGAATTTAGGTACGACTCAATGACTAAAATTTATTATCGTGGAGCACGAGCAGCTATCGTCTGTTACGAGATATCCAACCAGCAGACATTCAATCGAGCCAAACACTGGATTAGAGAACTCAGAAGTGTTGAAGAAAAATGTAAAATTTATCTCTGCGCCACGAAGAGTGATTTGTTGCTAATGGGAGAGACCCCATCTCCGAGTTTAGAGGCTGTGGAACTTTATGCCTCTGGAATTCAATCGAAATGGTATATTACGTCAAGTAAAACTGGAGAGAACATCTGTAAGTTCTTATTCCCAATCTCAGCAATACTAATTAAATCAGCAATGCGTTTCCTTCATTCTTTATATTCTCCTTCAACGCATAATATTTTTAATAACTATTCTAGAGCGATGATATTCACACATAATAGAATAAATGTACGCAAAAAAAATGATCTGTTAATTTTATCGCTTTGTTTAACTATTTCTTATTGTTTCATTTATTTTCCAGCTGAAATGTTCCAAGAAATAGCAAAGGATTTTTCAATGGATCCTAGTAATCGTGAAGAACTTAAACAGGAGTTGATAACTATTTCAGTAAATGATAAAGGATCCTCATGGTGTGCGTGCTTCCGCTGGAGATGAATTTTCCTTAAGAAAAAAACATTCACGGAATTTTCCGAATCCCTCATAAACAAACGAAATGCTGAAATACTCTCTAGGATCGAGAAAAAAATAAAAAGAGAAATCAAGGGTCTGGGCGAGGACTATTTTATCTATTTTCACAAATGAGAAATTTACGGAGTGTTAATTGATCAATTACTCAAGGATTACATTTAATTTAATGCTCATACCAGTGAAAAGGCTGAAGACATTGGGAGATAGCGATATTTTTATTACGCAGGATAGATTTATTGGAAATGTTATATACAAATAGGCGAATTCCAATAAAGATTTTGTAAATTAATCTCTGATCTTCTTATTTTCATCTTATAACAGATGAATTTAGTGATTTTTGTGACGTAGAAAAATTAATTTCAAGTTCTCACTCGAAACCCACAGTATTATGGGTTTTTATTTTCTATTTTTGGTGCTCCATTGTATCTAAGGGATTAATAAAATTTCCACACCACCTTGAATTTGAATTAAAGGGCGTGGATCTAATGTGAAAAAGAATGGATTAATTAATAACAGAAGACTCTGGGAAAATTAACGTAGCGCAGGCGTATCTTGATTGTTCGTAAATTCCGAAGAAGACAAATCCTCCGATAGTAAAACCAACAGCTCTTAATGTGCAGCCAGTGAATAATCCCCTCAATCCTTTTTCCCTATAAACTTCTTTCATCGTTGAGATGATTTTTACTCTTTTCTGTGACTGATGTGCCAGCATTATTCTCGTTTTGATAACGTCTAGGGGAGTGGTAACAGCAGCAGAAACAGTCACCGACAGGGCTCCAGCAGTGGCACCTTCAAAAGGAGTGCACTCCCTTCCCTTTTTCCTCTTCCAGCACAGTTTCAGGTACTCCCAGAGGGGCATTTGAAGAAAGCCAAACGGCAAATCCCTGAGTAAAGTACTTCCATATCCTCTATAAAGTGTTCTGACACCGAGGGATACTGGATGGGCATTGGCCAGGAGAGCCTGCCTCCTCTGTTTGAGGACTTCCACAGGTACTTTAACGAGGCAGGATATGATTTCAGCACAAGAAGCAGCTCCCATATGAACGAAACTGTGATACTTGACGTCAACCATTGGAGTAACTAAAACCTTGAAGCCCTCGTAAGTTACGAAGAACAGAGAAGCTATTGGGGCTGATCCAGCGACTACTGGTCCCAGGCCTTTGTAAAGACTTTTAAATCCCCCAGATTTTTGAAATCCATGCTGACTTTGCAATCTCGTTTTGACAGTGTCCATGGGGAAGAAGACAACGTCACAAACCACCCCAGCAGCTGCTCCGGACTGAAGCATTTGAAATATTTTCTTTGATTTTTCAATATCTTCTAGAATTATTTTTCTTCGATAATTCATTAAAATACTGAAGAATTTAAAAAATTGAGATTATCACGTCGAATAATTTGTATTTCCACATGCATTCAAAAGAATTTCTCCAATTCAAGGTTTTTATAAATTTGAACTTTGAAATATGACAAAAGGAATTGTTAAGAAATATTGGAAAAATAATTTGCCGCCCTGACGCAATGAGTTGGACAATTTCAGATTTGAAAAATAGAATGCCATTCGGTGGGAAAGAGTAAAAAAATCGAAATAGAATGAAAATTCAAGAAAATTTTACGTTTCTTCGAGAAAAATAATCAACTTACAATCATTGACGACCAAAACACAGTTTTGGGGCTCTCATTGCCGGTTTTCTTCCCTTGATACATTTTGAGGTTATCCCTGAACCCTGAAAATTCCACCAAATTTCCGGAATTTTCCCAAGATCAATTAAATGCCCATCAATTCACTAGATATCACTCGACTTTGTTCAACGAAAATAATGAAAAATCATTCACTAATGATTGGAGATTTTATAATGTCTCTTATCTCCCATCTCTCACACGTGTGACCACTATTTCTGTTTTACCGAGTGAAATTCCAATAAAAATAAAAGAAAAAGTTATTAATTCTTGAGGGCGCTCCTCTCATATGCGTGCACTCTCCCATGTGTTGCAGTCTGCATAAAGAGTTGGTGTCTGCCATTCACTCCCAAGAAAATACAGGACACCTCAGGATAATATCACGACCTGTCCAACGATAAAACGCGAATAAACAGTTCAATAAATCCATAATCCTCGATAAATTGCAAAAAAAATTCGGGGAATGCGAAGAGAGAACGAAAGTTGAAGATATTTGTTTGGGATGATGAATTGTCATTCGTAAGTATGAAAAATAATTCGTGTCTCACTGTCTCTAGGACATGTGCAAAATCCATTTCTACTTGAAGATGTAAATAACGTTTTGTCTATTGCGCTGTAATTTTTAATATTCATGAGATGGCCTGGATGGAGGGAAGTGGAAGATAGTCGTATTTTATTTTTTATTATTTCGAGATAACGAGAAACTTGTCAAGTTTGTCCTAGAGGCATTGCATTTTCACCGCATGATTCATGTTTAGCTTCCTGTTGGCATTCCGAGATATTGAATTCATGTGTTGTTACAAGTGTTGGATTATTATTCTGTATGTCATTAATTTCAGGTTGAGATATCTGGTTTTGCCTGGGTGAGGATTTCTAGGTAAAGAGCAAAGTGAAGGGGAATTTTTCTCGGAGCCTGTTATCTTTGAGTTGTGATAAGAAATTTGAGAGATGGATATTGAGGACCCTGTGATGCAGGGACTACTGTTGTTCCCTCCTCAAGGGGTTCTTGGACAGCTCAAGGTATTTTTTTTTTCATTTTCATTTTTCTCTGGCATTTCTCCCTGCATTGTTAAATTCTGCAAAATTACGAGTGTTCACTCCTTGCCTCTGATTCACTTGCAGATAATTTTTCAAATGTTTACATGATAAAATAAATCATAAAAAAGGTATTTGTGCTATACGCCATTTTTTAAATTTTCATGGATTTGATATGAATAATAATTGCTATTGATAATTATAAACAGTATTTTTACGTGTCCTGGACAATTACGTGAAATTCAATAAGAATTTTTTTTGCTCAGTAAAAAATTGTTCGCTTAGATTTTAGTTGAGATTTATCTGATTTATTTTCACTCTTCATTTTTTATGTTTTTTCAAGAAAACATGGCACAAGAGATATTGCCAGCTCTTCAAGGCCAGCAAATACGGCATCGAGCGGCTAGAGATTTGGGACAGCAAAGAGGACTTTCTGGGACAACAGCTGAGTCCTAGAATAATCACCCTGGAGAATTGCGTGAAAATCGGCCCGAGCAATCAGCCAAAAGTTATTGCGGTGAGGAATAATCTAAAAATTTTATCGTTTGAGTGATTCAATGGGTGCGAGATAAAAGAAATTCTGAGTCGGAGTGTTTCCTTCCGGTGAGGAAAAACATACAATCGGCCCAAAAAGAAAACAAACAACACACGTAACAAATAGATATATTATTTCAAATTTCATTTTAATGCTGAATAAATGTTTTGCATTTATTATATTGACAGATTATTAAAATAATGATTAATGCACTGGGCAAAGAAAATTTGAAAAAACTCGTGATATCCTGCAGGTGGTGACAAGATCGTTGACCCATCACTTTGGGTGCATAACTGAGGGAGAAACTCGTGACTGGATAACAGCCTTTCAACACGTCGCCTTCCCGGATCTACCCTCGATGGAGACCATCGAGGAGGACAATGACCTCTACTGTACCAGTGGTAAGGGTCTCTTCTCTGTGAAACTGGTGGAAACAGATGCCTCAAAACGCTGTCGTCTGGACGAGAAAAATTACACACTTCTCGTTGGTGACACCGAGATGAACCTCATGGACGGTGATACCGTGAGATTTACCTGGCCCTATCGATACATCAGAAAATATGGATATGGCGAGGGTAAATTCACCTTCGAGGCGGGTAGAAAGTGTGAGTCAGGGGAGGGATCATTCCGACTGGAGCACAGCAATCAGCAGGAGATCTTCAGATGCATATCCTCAAGAATGAAATCAATGAAGAAACTCCTACGAGGAGAAATTTCAACGCCTGGGGTGGATCTCAATGATGTCCAGTATCATGCTGCCCTCTCCATGGAAGCTGGCTCCAGGTCCCCACTTCCACCAACACCAACGCAGAATCTCATTGATCTAGATTATTCCAGCTCCCAGAGCTCCCAGAGGACGATATTCCCGGGCTCGACGTCATCATCGAGTATTGAATCTGTACCCTTCATCAGGAGTCCCCCTCCCATCGTCTCTGCCAAACCCGCGAAACCTCCTAGGAAATTTTTCATTCCAGGTTTACGAGAACACAAAACCACACCTGAGCTCCCTGACATTGGCTGTGGCATATACCGTAAATTAGCTACGTACACATCTCCAGAGACCGCCCGAAAATTATCCCAGACGATATCATCTCCTCAGGACGACGAAAAACATCCGTACGATCTCGTGGAGGTTCGTAACAACGCCTGGAGGACTCACGGAATCGACACTGTTGTCCATACAGAAAGGAAAGACAGGCCTGAGCCCCAGAATCCGAGACCCGCCAACGAGGAAAATGGAAACGAGGATAAAAATCTCAAGAAGGACGACGAGGACTGGGTCGAGGTGAACGTCGAGGAGTCTGGGGATCGTCTCCAAGATGATGAGGACTCCGACTGTCAATACGAAACGATGATTTCCAACAGCACAGGGTTGTCGACAACTGAAACAGTTACAGCATCACCGATCATTCATAATAATCTCACAAAGTCTGATTCCACTGCCAATTATGATACTCTTCAGCATTTTGGGTCTCTTCACAGGCTGAACAATCCTGGGTACAAGGCCCCTAATTTGAGTCTCAGTTTACCAATGAGAAATGCATCATCACAGTGCAATTCACCGACCGTTTCTTTGGAGAGTCCCTCATGGAACGATTACGACGTCGTCGAGGATGTTCAGGCTATCAGATTGGCTGATGACAGTAGCCGGGGGTATGGGGTCATCAGAAAGAAGACAAATGCTGCCACTAATGTTAATACAGGACCTCAGCAGAGGATCTTCAATAACAGTGAATATGCAATTGTGTCGAAACCCAAACGAGTTTAGTATTCGATTTTACATCACGCGGAGTTTAGTCCAACAGGTGATTGGAAATTGGTAGACAAGTGGTGGATATCTCTGCAACTAAGGGAAATAGCTGAATTGTTGTGATAACCTTTTTTGTAGGTCTCCATTAGCTCCGTAGACAAGATCAGGGTGAGATTTCAATTATCTCCCATAGTTTCTCGGATATTTCCGAAAAATTCAACGAACAGTCAATTTATGCTATGCAATTAAAGCAGTTGTTTGATTTATTTTACAACGACCGGTGAGATAATATATTTTTATAAACAGACGTACTACATTTTTTATATTCCGATCTGAGTGCCAATGCTGTACTATTTTGTATTCGATATTAGAATTAAGAAATCAATTACGATAGGTTTTTTATAATTTTGTTAGGATGTCGAATGAGAGACATGAGTATTTGCGAAACGGTGGACCAAAGATCTTTAACTTCACACCAAGTGATAAGATTAATTGTTTAATGATCCTGTATTGGACGGTCCAAAGTGCCTAATTGTATGTGTTGAAGCGCCTATTGGCCCGTAATGATGAATTTTCTTATTCATTGCCTTAGGATAAAATTGTAAAATATTTTACACCATGTTGACGATAATTTTTATAGATAAGTGAATTTAATAAATCTATTGTTACCGATCGATAATTACTGTCACATCTACATTATTTCGTCTGATTGGGACTGACAAAAAATAGAATCCTTTCGTATTTTATATTAACATATCAATAAAGCGACTTATATTATAAAACTTTGTACAAATATTACATACGATCTTCATAGATTAAAAGTACATGACGTATTTTATGAAAATGTGATGCACAATTTCAAACAGAAATTGTGATATTAAAAATCGTCTAATTTCTATTCTCACCTATTGATTAATTACCGATTTGGGAGGGGCTGACCTTCCGGGATCTCCACAGGTTCGTCTTTCGTCATTTCCATTTTCTCATCCTTCTTCACAACTTCAAAAGTATCAGATCCATAAACTTGGAGTCTCTTCACAGTATGTCCTTGCATTTTCATGATCTTTTCGATGTTTCTTTTAGCCTCAACCGGGCCAAACCACCCCAGGTTATCAGCAATCAGATGATTATTTTTGCACCCATCGCACTTGATGATGACAACTCCCTTCTCATAAGCCAATTTCGTCATCACCTTGGAGTTCCTCGTTTCGCATTTTCTGCAGGTGAACATTATCCTCATTTTCGCTTGTACTTTGGCTATTGGATGCTTTACCAAAGGCTCTTCCGTGTTCTGTACCTCCTGGGGGCTGTCTTCCACCTGAGTCGAGAATTTCCTCAGAATTCCTTCCCTTTCCAGCGCCTGGAGGAGGATCCTGGGGGCATTTCCAGGGATTGGCTCCAGGGATTTTAAAGAGAAAATCCTCCAAGAGGCTCTACACATCTGCCTCAATCCAAACATCACCCGAAATTATGTTTGAGTCAAGAAATATATAACCTGCAGATTGAGAACAAAGAAACTATCATTTTTTAAACAAAATAATGCTTGTCAGGACAATTTAATAATTCACTCACAAAAATCGAGTTGGCCTCATCAAATTTCTTTACCCAATTTTATATTTTCTTCTTCCAATCAATGATAAAACTCTAATTTCATCAGTTTTCGCATGTTTCTCACGTTTTTATTGCGTTATTTCCCTGAACTAATGGCGCCACGTGTTTTTTTTTAAATCCGGGATATTCATTGGATAACATTTGGCGCCAGTCCTTTTCTTTTCTATTCAATTCTCAGAATTTTGGAGCTGATCTCGAAATTTGAAAATTGGAGTTGTAGAATGACTTGCAGATCGATTCTTTGTCATCGATCATTTGTTCTTTGCGGATTATTCATTCTGGAGAAATTGTCTTCAATTTTTAAAATGTTGCTGCAGGTTGGGAATTTTTATGTTGTGGTTATTGAATTGTTTTTAAGTGGTGCTAGAATAAATACAATTTTTGCTTCAAGGGTTGATTTAATAATACAAAATTCGAGACAGATACAACGATACTGCCAGATAATCCCATGGATTTGCCACACGCATTTTCACAATATAAATAGAAGAAAAAACCCATTACCGGTCTATATATCGTGTAATGCCAGATTCAAATTGTGGTGCAAGATGACTCTCAAACTCGATAATAAATTCGGCGAGGAGTTTTTATCAACTAGAATATCGTGTTCGAATTGATTGAGTTCTAGCGTTCACAGTGAACTCCATTGTCAACAATTTGATATTTCAATATTCATTTCAATATTCCAGAAAATGGTAATCGATGTTCGTGATAATTTGAATTTTTTGATGACAATGAAGACACCAGAACTCGTTTCAAGAGTCAATATGAGTCTTCAGCGTGTGAGTGAGCAATTTAATTATTTGCATGTCCAATTGAATTTGCAAATTCGAGATTGAGTTGAGTTATCTCGTGTGACGACGGATCTGACGAATTATGCGGATGCTTTTTCGCCTTCGGTGACAGTTGTTGTTGTTGATGTTGTGTCACTTCCTGATCCTTCGTTACTACCACACGCCAACGATGGGAATCGCTGGAAGAGAGCTGCACGGTACTTAGGGTGGCTGTAAAAAAAATTATTTTATTAAAATCGAATTCCATTCTTTCATTAATGTAATTGACTCCATTAAAGACTGATTAGAATCAGTTGACGTAATCTGGAGTAAATTGAAAATTTATTAATGGACTGATTTGATTACCTGATGCCATAGACAATTGGATTGTAGACAGCATTGGCCTTGGCGAAGACTGAGCCCCAGATGGTGAAGAGAGGGCTGATTTTAGCACTCTCGAAGACACCAGCATAGTTGATGACGAGGTATGGGGTCCAGGCCATGAACCACAGAGAGATGGTCATCAGGGCGACTTTGGCCAATTTGCACTCAGCACTTTGTGCCTGGTTCTCAGCTGATCTCAGAGATGCAACGTTCATCTTCTTGGCCTGCTCTCGCATGTTCTTCTCGTGGGCTGAGACAGCCTGGATGATGAAGTAGTACGAGTAGATGATGAGGAAGAGTGGAGTGTAGTACACGAAGATGCTGTAGACCAGGATGTAAGAGCGAGATAACCACTCCTTGTTGAGATAGTCAGTGCCACAGGCTGTCATGTTGCCCTCTGGGACGTATCTGTTATTTTTCCAACATTTTTATTTGTCACTTTGTAGTTAAATTCTTTTTTTCTTATTCTTGAAGAAGATAATAGAGATGGGTATCGTAGGATATCTCTGAATCTAAGAGGGATAGCGCAATTTTTGTGAAAGACTTTTTGCTAGGTTTTTTTCCACTCTACAAAAAAGGTCATGAGGGGAATTTCGAAAAATCTCTTAGGTCACGAGATATTCAACAACAAATCACCTGTTCCATCCGAAGAAAGGCGCCACGGTCCATGCAAGGGAGAATACCCAGATTCCGAGGATTCGGAGGAGTGCTCCATTGATGGTCATTGGCTTTCCGGCGAGTCCCTTAACAATTACGTTGTATCTGTCGAATGCTATCATAGTCATTGACCAAATGGAGCCACATCCGAAGAGAGAACCAGCACAGGCGTAGAGCTCGCACATGAGTGGTCCAAATACCCACGTCTCATAATAGCAATTGATCACCTGAAATATATATAAATCATTGGATATATCTGTGGTATTTGGTGGTGGGGCCGTACCATTGGTGGTGCCATGCAGGTCATCATGGCAAAGTCGGAGAATGCCAGGTTCACTACAAGGAGATTGCTAGGTGTTCTCAGTGATTTCGTCGAGGAGAAGATGTAGATGACCATTCCATTGCCCACTATTGAGACGAAACCGAGACAGCCGATCACGAAACCAAGAATTCCGTGCCATAAGGGGTTCATCGGGGGAAATTGGTACCAGTGAGGATCGATCATGTGGAGCATATCTGCTGGTACCTTGTCCACCACCGTTTGGTTTCCACCAGCTCCGCCATATGAATAAGCGGCAAAACTAGGTCCTGCTAAAGTCGCCATTGCTCCCTGAAATTTATCATTGTTGAATAGTTCAGAAATGAAAAAAATTTACCTAAAACGATTTAATGCGCTGACACGTCCAACGCTTCTCCACTTGCATTTTTGAGGGATATCTCGGAATATAAGAGAGATAGTGAAATTATTCTCAAGAGATTTTTTGTGCAGTAGAATTCGCGCAAAAAAAAGGGTTTCTATAAAAATTTCGCCATCTCTTGTAGATGCAGAGATATCTCCCAAAAACTTGGTAGTTAACTGAATGATGATGCTGGTGCATATTCGGGATGAATTGGGATGGAGATATTCAATGGAATATTTTTGATGTGCAGTGGGCTTGTTGATAATTAATCTTAATAGCAGAGTGCAACTCACCTGTGGGGTACTTGGAAAAAATCGTAACGATACGAACTAGTCCAAGTTTAATTGGTGAAGAGTGGGCTCACGTTTTTGCTGAGGATGTTGGAAGGTATGGAGCTTTTTTTGACGACTATCGGATGCGGCTCGTCCGAACACCTCAGAAGTCAGCTTAAATATGTACCACTGGTCGGGCTGAGGCACTTCATTTGTACCCTTTACAGAACCCACCGATATACCGATTTAAAACGTATAAATCTGACAAATAGTCTTAAGAAGTTTGTTTATTGAATTAGAGAGGACTTAAGAATACCGTGGAAAGACATCGTCACAACAAGATGGGAAACCTTAGTGAGGGACAAACAAATATAGATTACGAAGAATTCTTAGGACTCGATAATTTCCACAAGACCGAGTCAAATTATCGAATTTTTTACCAAGTTACAAATTACAAGTCAAATTCTCCTCCAGTCGAGATTTTGCACATAATCTCTTAATCTAGGGAAGATAGCGAAATTTTCATTAGAACGTCTTTTAAAGAGTGGAATCAGATCTATGCAAAAGATATTTACACAAATTTCTCTATCTTTTTTAGATTCAGAGATAATCAGGGTAAACTTATTCATTGGCTTTTTCATTCAGTGACTATTATAGTAAAAGTTTATAAAAATTATGTTAAACATTCAAATTTTTTTTATAACAATTATATCTTCACCTCATGTAAAGTAAATATATAATATACCGATCTCTGATATTCTCGAGGTATTTTCAATTGTTTAAAAACGGGAAGTCTGAAGTTGGGCTAATGATTTTGTATTCCCCTTCATGTAGGTGATGGGGACAGGTGCAGGTGCAGGTGTACACCGCGCATTTCATTTTTGTTGTGTAGTTGTTGTTGTGTAGACATTACAGGAGTATCGACTCTCGCAATGCATCATCTCGGATTAAAAGACATCACTGGGTGTTTCAGGAAAGGAATTCTGTTATTTCTATGTGCAGATATTACTGGGGATTTACTATTCCTTTGAGATTAGTCACGTCAGCGATATGCAAAGGGTTATGTCATTTTAAAATGACCTGGATATATTCTGTTTATTACGACGATGTCAACAGCTTGGTAATAGAGGAGCGTAAGTATCAAAATTCATATTTCAATATTGTTCTGCACTGAGAGAGAATTAAAGAGTCTCGGAGTAGTTTTCTTTCAAAATATTTATATGAAGAAGTGGAGGATGTAAAATAAAATAATTATTGTTTGAATAGAAAAAGAAAAGATAAGATATTTTATTGAGGGAAATTTATTTATTTGGTTTTCAAGTTATGAGACTGCTGTATTATTATTTCATTGAAGAACTCATTGTTTACCAGTGATCATTTACTAGTTGACATTTTTCATTGTTATTTCTTGGATTTCTGAAATTTTTATCCAATTTACTACCCAAGATAATCTGTCATATTGTCTGTGATCTTTTTACAGAGGGATGAATAAATAATGAGAATGGCTTTTTCGTTGAGAGCTGGCACCCATTGGTGCCATGATTTTCCAAAACTCGCACGTGAATCTGGATTCTATTTCAACATCAATAGAACTCCAGTGCGAATTGATTGGAATCGCATAAGTATGCTTATTATTGACGAAACGTTTTTGAGCAAGAATTTTCCGAATTTCTTTCACTCGAATTAAAAAATAGAATTGTCAGAGAAAATATTTTCGCTAATAAAGTTTCTCGGATTTAATTAATTTTTTTCATAGCTCGTAATTGGATTGAATAAAGAAATATAAATTTGCAGGTACAATAGACATCGATCGTCTGATCAGGGAACGAGACTTCATGACGATCGATGAAAACGTAAATAATGTCGTGGATTATTCCCTTGAATCTACCTATGACATTAAAATTCTTGATCCCAATTTCGTAAAAATATTCAGACTTGCCCAACTCTCGGTGGAATATCTTCTGTACTGCAGGCAATACTTGGACCAAAGTGTCATAATTCTGAAGGACGATTTGAAATTAAAACTTGAGGATAACCACAAGCTCAAGAGAGAGCTGTCACTAGCTGAGGAGAATATCAAGGAGTTGAAAGAGAAACCCAGGGAGAAGTACAAGTGGGTCGAAAAGAAGTTCAGCGATTCGAATGGAGAAATCCACAAAGTAAATGATCATCTCATGAAACAATTTTTTCCGATTTCCGAGTCAAGATTTTTTGGAAATATCTCCTAAACAAGCAGAGATATTGAAATTTTCGTTATGTTCTTTTTTGTGGAACTAATTAAGAGCTAGAGAAAGGTTTATTATACATTTTTAATTATCTCTGTTAGTATCGGAGATATTTCTGAAAACTCCACGGCGAATGTTTAATTACCTTTACCATTTCTCAATTGATTAAAAAAAATTTCAGTGCCCGCACTGCCCGAAGACATTTATATCATCTGTTTTCATGAGTTCCCACCTGACTCGTCGTCATTCGAATCAATCCATTCCGATTTCTTCCCCCGTCCACGAGGAATACCGGGCGGAAGCGGAGAAGCTGCACAACGAGATAAAAAACCTAAAGGAGCGTTTGAACGAAACTGAAAGAATAATTCGTAGTGAATCAGGAAAGCTCCATGAGTCCATTGAAAATACCAAAGCCCTTCACCTAGGAAAGGTGGAGCTGAGCGAGAGGCAGAGGATTGAGGAGGATTACGAAAAATATCGGGAGGAGATGAACAATCTCCGGAGCATTCTCTTCAGCGAGATTAAGAGCTTCGAAGGCACTGAGAAGAGACACTGGGAGAAACACGATGAGAGAAATGAACTAGTCAAATTGCAGGGGGAAGAGATCCAACGACTGAGGGATCAGCTTCAGGCACAGGGCTCTTTACAAATTTCCAACAGTCAATTGAAGGAGGATATTCAGGAACACTGGCAGGCAAAAATCCAGGAGATAGAGGAGCAGCATCGTTTGGACATGGAGAAGTTGAATCAACAGCTGATCCTCAATCAACAGACGACTGACAAAATGAGAATGGATTACACCAGTAAAATTAGTGAGCTAGAAGAGAAGTCGAGGAATTATGTTGACGCTGTCGTCCAGAAGGAGTCACGTGAGACGAAAATTCTCGAGAGAAATCCTAAAGAAATGTTTTCCAAGGAAACAGCATTGGCTATTGAAGACATTGACACTTCTTCAGGCGCAGAGATTTTAGAGGAAGATGAAGTGCAAAAGATCCAGTTGCAATCGAAGAAGACTGACAGATCGCCAGTTCCTTGTGGCAGTTTTTCCAGGAGAAAACCACTGGTGGATCGTGAGAAATTTAAAATTGAAGTGAAACAGGTGAATTCGGAGCATCCGAAACCCCTTGAGAGGAGTTATCCAGGGATTCAGAGTGGAGGAAAACCTATGGAGGAAAAATTGGAGTGTGAGAAAATTGTGACGTCTGTGGAGGACATCAATTCGGAATCTGCCACAATTTCTGACTCGCAGATGTCTCAGAGTGAGTCACAGGATGAGAGTGAATCCGAGAGTGAAGAGAGTCCCGAGGTGTCAAGGGTAAAGACTACCGAAGCAATAAAAATGGAAGTAGAAGAGAATTTTGAGGAACGACTGCGAGGTCTCGGGGTAGATCCAGAGTGGACTGGTCTTCCATTGACGACGTTCAAACAATTAATCGTGACGATGGCTCATCATCGCGCTGTGAGTACAAAAAAATCCAGCAGCTTCAAGCAAATCCGGCAAAGAATCTCGGAGAAGTTGACGAGTGGAATTCCCAGGGAGCAGATGCCCAGATCCATCGAGCAGGCGAAATCTCCTTTGAATAGACTCATGGGCAACGTCACGAGGAGAGCTGCGAAAAGTCTGAGAGTTCTCAAGATGCAGGAGTCTCCCTCGAGGGAGAAATCTAAACCCAAATTCTCGTTGAGAGACAAACCAAGCATGGCGAAGCTTCAGGCTGATCTGCTCCCAAAAAAGTTGGATAAAATCCAGGTGAGAACCCTGGAGAGACGAGAGCAGGATACAGAGAGAGAGGCATCGATATTCTCACCCTCGAGATTTAGCACTCCCCGATACGTACCGAGTCCTCATCAGGAGCCAGACCCCTCGAAAAATGTGAGACAGTTATTCCCCTCGTACGAGAGTATCAAGGATTATGGTAAGGATTTAACAGGCAAAATGCAGCAGTCGCAGAATCGAATTCTAGGAGAGGAAAGTTTTTCCAGCGTTTCTGTCTCTCAGGAGAAATTGGATCGAGTCGTGAGCCTTCCAGCCTCTCCGAAGGGCAATAGAAGCCTTTTGAAATCGATGACAGGATCTGTTGGAAGTCTCGTAAAGAAGAAAGTCCTGTTTGACCTGGAGGAGAATGAGAATAATCCAGATAATTATTCCAGGAGCTCTCAGATCTCATCGACAGTCGTCGATAGTGACGACGGGGTTTCGAGTCTTTCCGGTGAAGAGGCAAAACCTGAAGCCTCTGATAATCTTCAGGTGTCCCAGGGGGAGAGGAGGATTGAAGTTATAGCTCGACAGCAACTCTTGGGACGTCTCAGCAACGAAATTATGATTGCTCCTCCTATGCCTGCACCCAGAACCTCCACCTCGATCATTCCCTCGAAAAATATATCCAGCAGTAGAGAATCCAATTTGGATCATGACATCGAGGAACTACTTCGTATGGACTGAAGAAAATATATGAATGTACCTGATTTTACCAAATACCAGTAGCTCTTAAGAATTTATTTGTTAAGGACAGTGGAATTATCACAGTGCTTCTGCCATTCGTGTTTCAGACCTTTTGATTATGGAGACTAATGTAGATATTTTGACAGATGTTTACTGATATCACGTGTCTTGTAGATTTCTCATGTAATTTTTTCATTCAGGAGTTGATGCCAATAATAATTGTGTGTGAATTTTATTTGGCTTTCTTTGGTATGGGTATTTATTTTCAAATGTATATGGGATTTTTTTTTATTTTGTTTTCTTCGCTGTTCTGTGATATCAGAACGAAAAAAATAATACCATAACACAAGTCAAACATCTCATTTCTCCTTCCGACTTTGACATCAGCCGTGTTTAGTATTTTTTCATTTTCCTTCTACATTCTGGGAATTATTTATTTATGATTAAGACGTCATTAATTTTATCATAAAGAGATGAATGGAATGCTTTTTCTTTAATTGTTTGTTTCATTTGGATAAATAATATTGTTTCGGGAATCAAATGGGTTTGCACATGAAATAATTAATTTACGATGGAACTTAATTAATTTTATTCCAATCAGTCAAACCTAATTAATTTTATTTAATAATTCACTTGAGTGAAATTAATAATATTCTTAACTCGATAGGAGAATTTCATTTTTCTTGAATTAAGGGGAACAATAAATTGCATTTTCCAGACGCACAGATCGATTTAAATAAAAGTTAACAAATTTTTGGGGGATTGTTGTTTTAAATAATTATTGTTTCGTTAAGACTCAATCAACAGACGATTTTTTAAATTATCCAGAATATCTGCGATTTTATTCTCCAGATCGACATGACGCTTGCGTTCCACCTGGTGGTCCTGCAACAGAAAACGATAGAAAAAACTGTTATCTCTGGAATTCTCAAAATTATTTTCAAATGAAAAGTTCAGAGAAAAATACAGCCCCAACTTTATTGATTTCAAACGATCAATTAATTCAACACTTTGTAAACAAATTTTTTGCATTCGAAAGTTTTACAAAAATTTTGATGAAACGATCAATTAATTCAAGATTTTGAACACAATTTTTTTTTTCATTTGAAAGTCTCATAAAAATTTTATGAAACGATCAACCAATTGAAGATTTTGTACACGAATTTTTTGCATTTGAAAGTCTCACAAAAATTTTGGTGATTCATAAACTGTTCTCACAGAAACGATATATCAAAAAATATAATTATTTATAAGATAATTAAGGGATACAAATACACACATAAAAATCAGGATCAATAATATCTAGGATATCCTAAGCCTCGTCCCCTCGACTCAGAACCTGTAGATTTATCAGTGGCAATTCTACTGTATCTTTGGCTGGTGGCACTCTTGAATTCACTCGTCGCCGAGGGTCCGGAATTTCCCTCTGAAGCTCTCCCCTCATAACCATCACCAGGATTCCCATAATTTCGTCCATCAACTGGTCGAGTCAATGTAGGATCAATCCTCTGGCCGAAAATGAAATCATCAACTGGAGGCGGAATCCGTTGAGTGGTTCCAAAGGTAGAAAATAGGGTTGAAGGCTCTGAATACTCGATATACCCAGGAGAAACGTTTCCATCATGTCGATTTCCCGGGTATTCATACTGGATCACCTGATTCCTAGGGATCAAATTCTGCCCTTCACTCCGAATTGTCGAGGGCAGATTGTAGGTGACAGGATTGTAAGTCGTTATCGGGGGATTTTTTATCGTTCGGAGGTCTGAGGTACCTTCCTGTTGTTCCCGGAAGTTCTGGATATGTTTCTCCTCTGGTCGATGGGTGAGAGGTGGATCCATGGGTTTATTGTTCAATTCCTCCTGAGGCCCATCCTGAGGCAAATCCTGAGGCGCATCCTGAGGCCCATCCTGAGACTCGTAATGATCCTCCTGAGGATTTTCTCCCTGAACATACGTCTGCCCCGTGGAATCTTCCCCTGAACTCGATTCCCCAGATCCTCGATACTCCGATTGTCCTGAATCAGACTCTGACCCCTGGGAATATATCGATTCCCGATAGCTTCCAGATTCTCTGACAGGTGCCTCAGCCTGATCCAATGTTTCCTCTTGACGGTCATCATGATTGCTCTCTGAATAATTCACCGTGAATTCCTCTGTTGAATCCTCTTGCGCCCCAGAATCATCCCGATAGGCTGGAGTAACTGTCTGTTCACCAGAGAATTTCTCTAACTCTTCAGGTGTGATATCGGGCTCCTCTTTCTCCTCCCTCTCATGATTTTCTTCCCTGAGTTTCTCAGAATCTCCAGTCACCTGCGATTTACCAATCCTCTCAGTGACCGGCGCCTCCACCTCCTCCGGTGACTCATTCTCTACCGACTCTTCCGCCAGATACTTCTGCAGGTTCTCAGTGAGAATCGACTGCGTGGACTTCTGCAGGGACTCCGGTGAGAATAAATACTGCACCGGTTTGTAGTATGGGCTGTACCTAACAAAATCGAAAGGAACTATCGCCAAGGATTTCTTCTGGGTTCCATCGTTCCTCGGTTTCGGGGCTTCCGGCCCCTGGGCCTTTCGCTTCCAAGACTTCCCACTTCTTCCCGGACTTTTCCCTTTACTCCCTTTGCCCTTCTCTGGGTTTCCCAAGGTCGACGTCTTCTTCTGCGTCTCACGAATTTGTTTCGCACCCTTTTCCTGGTCCCCCTTGCTCTTCAGGGTTTTCCCACCGAGATTGTACTCCTCGTATTTATTCTCCAGGGGTCTATCTTTATTGTCCAGCATTTCCTTGGGGCTCTTCATCCCCTCGATCCACCACGGCCTCTTCTGAATCTGCGGTGCAATTATACTCTGGGCGTCGAACAATCCAGTCTGCGAGTTTTTGTATCTCTCGAAATAATCGGCAACGTTCTCGTCAATTTTCCCTGAATGCTCAAGACTCTCGCCGTAGCTGTTCATGAAGGGGCCGTTAAATGGTTTTTCCTCGATCGGGAGTTTAATTGCGTAATAGCTGGGGTATTGCTGGGGAATGTAGTCTTCGGGATCTTCGAGGGAACTTTTCTTGGTCTCGCTGTCAGGTGATCGCTCCTCGGTGGAGGTGCTCGTGAATTTTTGTGATTCCGACTGCTCCTCACCAGATTCACTCTCCTGGACGTGTCCTTCGGGTTCTGACTGATCTTCAGAAGATTCATTCTCTTTCCTCAGGTTTTCCTCTTCAGTCTCCCGCCCGTCATTCTCGTTGATCGGTGGCTGCGACTCCTCATCATCAGATTCCTCTGCGTATTCTTGTGGAGGGTCCTGGTCCTGGTCCTCTTGCTGAATCTCCTCGTGACTTCTGTCCACCTCCTGAGTATCTTCAGCGTATACCGGTGGATTTTCATTCTTCAGGTTAATCTCCTCTTCTCGATTCCGGTTGTTCTCGATGATTTTCACGTGATTGTTCCTTCTTTCGTCGAGATTGGGATTTCGATCGCCGATTATCTGCTGCGATTGCACGTTCTTCGTTTCCTTGTGCTCTTTGTTGACGAATTGGTGTTCAACGATTGTTGGAGTCGCGGGGGTTGGAGCAGAGGTTGTTGTGACGATTGATATTAATGGTCTCTGGGGATATTGCAACTCGTGGAGGTTCTGGATGTTGGGGGACAGGGGGATCGGGATTGGAACGAAATAGGGTTCTAGGAGAGGTGCTCTGCTCGGAGCACTTCGGGGATTTATCGCTGGTAGGGCTGATGATCCTCCAGCTGCTCCAGCAGGGGCTCCAGCAGGAGCTACAGCAGGAGTTACAGCAGGAGGTGCAGCAGGAGGTGCAGCAGGAGCTGGTGGTGAACCAGTTGTTCTCGGTCCATGAAACAATTGTTCGTACTGACGCAAATGCCCGAGAATATCAGAATTATTCCCGAAATTCACAACACCAGTGAATCGTAGAGTTTCCCGTCGTCTAGGTGCATTCGCTGCTACGACTGGCGCAACTGGAAGTGGTGCAGCTGGAGGTGGTCCTGGACGTGGCGAAGCTGGTGCAGCTGCAGGTGGAGGTGGTCCTGGTGCTGGAGCTGGAGCTGGAGCAGCTGGAGATGGAGGTGATCCTGGAGCTGCTGCAGGGAGTGCAGGATTCGTTTGTCTGATATCTATACTCACAGGCCCAGCAGAAATTCCCAGAGTATTCGGATTTGGGAAGGAAGCTAATTGCACTGGAGTCGAATTGTACCCCAAAGCCTGAACCAACCCCTGGAGCAGCACCCCCAGGGCTCTCTTATCCCGGGGATTTGCGTCCTCGTCAATCGAAATTGGTGAGGATGACTCTCGGATTATTTGGGGTTCTCGTCTTCTGGGTAATTCACTGTTTCCTGGTGATTCCTCGGTCGGCGCTGGGACAGTCTCTTTGGCAATTAACAACACATTGAGCGATATGATAATCACGTGAGGGAACTTCATGGCTGGCGACTAGTTGAAACACATGGCAAAATTTATTGCGGACTGGATTTATCCTGGCGCGTACTCACTCTGGGGAATCACGAATGACAATGGAGAACAAATCGATGGAGCGGGGCATTGAATTTTTGCATAATGCCGGAAAGAAACGTAAGTTTCACTTGGATATTGCACACGGGAATTAGGAGGGAGTGGATTTGAGGGGCCCGTTAATTTGATGTTAAGCGATGCGAGAAACCGACGGTCAGCTTCGGCTATTTGTAAAAACATTGTCGCCTTGTGATCTGTAAAAGTGTTGCAATTACGCGAGAACGTGGGTAATCAAAGTGAATTTTTTGTAATCATTTAATTCTTTATTGTTTATTCGTGGAATTGAAATTCTGTTTATGTCGATGGGTTTTCGGTATTTGGAATGCCCCAGGGTGAGCTATTTGTCGATTTTGTGCAGTCTTTGTTGGGATTTTTTCAGGATTTGTGACACAGATTTTTCCATTTTTTTCTCTTTGGGATTAACGATTATGGCTTCCGGTTCGGGAGGTTCATTTCAAGTTGAAGAATACTTTCGACATTTCCTGCGATTTCAGGGAGAGCATACGAAGTGAAAGGACACTTTCCACGTCATCGAGTGGTCGAGAGACCGGCGGGATTAATTATCATGGACTGACAATTGTGGCTTTTTCTGGGGAGCACTTGCCATAAATGATGGGCAGCGGTCAATGCGCCTTTCAGGAATTCATTGCGATGGAAATGCATTTTTGGATGGAAATTAATTTTTATTAATTTATTTATATTTTTAGGTGAAATTCATTTTTAGGTCAAACAGGGATTTGATGTGGGTCAATAAATTAAAATAGAAAATATTGCTCATGAAAAATATCAAATTTAAATTAAAATAAAATAAAAAATAAAAAAATATAAAATATAAAAATTCGTGGATCAAAAAATTGAAGATTAAATTCGATGGGTCAAAATAAAAGGTAAAAAATCAATAATAAAAACTGACGGTGAAAAATAAAGTTTCAAAAATTGTAATACGCTCTTTCCGTATAAGAATATCAGAAATATTAGATTCTTGACTAAAAAATCCATAATTTTTTTGCAGAGTTCAGGGTGAAAGGTATTATGTATGAGGTGTTCATGGTGACAGGTTTCCATCCCCCGAGACGATGTCGATTTATCAGTCATTTCCTAGTCTGGATCTACGCGATAAAAACTCATCGGAATGTTTGGGACGCGTATCAAAGCGTTTTGTATTCATCTCTGCCGGTGTTTTCACTCATTATTTATGAATCACTCTCCACTAATTAGACCATAATTCAGGACACCGATAATTTCGTGCTCCGGTGAGCAGATTTTTATCTTGGTAATCAATCATGCGATTCAGACAAGGTCGGAAGACTTTTACAGGTGTTTGAAGAAATTAGGCGGAGACACTTCTTTTAATTCCAGTAAGAAGGGGATTGTCTTTATGAACAATTAGTGTATTTACTAATTTTTTTCAATGTCCGCGCATTTGTGGAATATTTATTTATATTTTTCAATTTAATTTCATTTTATTTGCATCGAGCTAAGGATTCATTTGAACGGTACGAAGTAATTTATTCGAGTTCAATTATTTGTCATTTGCTAATTAATTACCGATTCATGATTAATTAGGCAATCATAAACTTATTCTTTCCCGGGATTTTTTGACGAAAATTTTGGTATCAGTTGTGAATTTTGAGATTTCGATAGAATCAATGTGGAATGGACCAATTAATTTTCAGGGGTTAAAATCAGTTAATTAATTGAGATCATGGTAATTTTTCCAGCGGTCGGAAAAGTGGAAATTGCAGGAATTTTCTGGTTCTGATGAGGACATGCAACTTTTTTACCGAGTGCTCAATCGGTATTTCATTGCTGAGCAAGTAGATCTCTATTTTATTCACTGTGCGCAATATTTTCTAGGGGATGCAGCAGAGATTTTCCTCTCGTCAGTATTTCTCAACAATTAATAGTATTATCAACAATTAATAGTTATCAATAATTAATAATCATGAAATTAGTAAATTCAAGTTGAATGACCGCACGTCGATTGTTATTAATTATCGATTTATCTCGAAAAATATTGAATTAAGGCAAAAACTGTAGATGACTTTTTTGTTGTTTATAGAATTTTCAATAAAAAAGGTCTTTTTGTATTTTCTTCTACAATTAGTATTTTCCAAGATCCATCGATAATTAATGTAATTACCGATATCAATACTTCCTGTAATTATTTATTTAAAAAATAATTATCTACTCACTGTCGATAAACAATTGAAATGCAATATTTTAATGATTACTTCCAAATTCATGAGACAAAATATTATAAAAAACGATTGTCAAGCCACAGAGTTAAGATAATCGTAATTTTTTATTTTTAACAATTGTTCACTAACAAATTGGATTTTAAAAAACTTGAGGGAACGTACCTTCTCTCGTTTTTGAAGATACAATCTCAATATATCCTCGCAGGCCGTGAGATTCTTCTCGGTTTCCTAAAGCAAAAAATGATCCCAAAGTACAAATAATTCTTTCCTGAATAGTTGAATACGCACTCGTAATATTATCGTCAATTTCGCTATCTTCTGAGCTTTGATGTCTTCCTCATTGACAACTCTGGAGGCAGCCTTCACCCGAAGATTGACAGGCAGCATGAATGAATGCCCGCGAAACCTGCGATCGTTACGAATTCCTCCAAAATACTGTATTATATTCTACGAGAAATCCATTTCTGCATTCGCCACCACTTGGCAGTTGCCTAGCAACAAAAATCGAAACACGAGATTAACTGAATCGGTAAAGCTCCTATCAATGTTAACGAACAATGATAACAATCAGAATATTCCCCGGGAAAAAAGAAAATTCTCCTGTCAATTTTTCAATCGACTAAGTCTAGTTCAAAATGAATTAACTAGTCCATCGAGAGAAAATGTTTAACAATAAACTAGGCAAATTTAATAAATTATTTAATAGCTATTTGGAGAGGGTGATCACTCACCCAAACAAGATTAGAGTCAAAGAGGGTTAAATCGTGATGATTTTGCGGTGGACAATAGGTGTTCAAACTGGTCACTCATCATTCCCAAATGGACCCCTCCAAACCGAGGACAACAGCATCCCATTGTCCATCACTCTGACTCCACAAGCATTTGTATTATCTAAAACAGGATCTAGGCACGCGAGTGAACAGGTTTCACTCGTCTCTTCGGATATCAAATATGATGAGGCGTATTAAAACCTCTCTGGGGCTGTTTTGGGGGTAATATCAAGTGATGGAGAACTGGTCCAGCCTCATTCTCCCGGAAAAATACTCAACCCGAAATAAAATAGTTCATGGGGTCAAAGTGGTGCACCGACGAGATCAAAGTTCATTATTGTTGGGGCATTTTCGCTCCTGTAACCTAAACCGCCTTCAATAATATTTGCAATACATAAGAAAAATATGAACTTTAAACAAGTCCAAAAAAAAATTTAATAACACGTATAATATTGTTAGATTAATTAATTAAATAAATTTAAATAAGTTAAATAAACAAACAAATTAAATAAACAAATTGAATAAATTAATTTAAATAAATTAATTAAATAAATTAACAACATTTATAATGTTGTTAAATTATTGGTGAATTATTATGTTAAGTTTATTATGTTAAGAATTAATTAATTAAGAATTACGGTTACAGGTTTGTTTTAATTTATTATTTCATTATTTTATTACATTATTGTTTATTTATTATTGGTTTTTTTCAGCTTATTTTTATAACGATTTGCACAGACATAATGTCTCAGCGCGAATCTGGTGTTGAGAGTATTTTAATGTGATGGGCGAGATTTATGAGAATTTCGGTAAATGCAGGAGAGACTCAATGAATTAACTCGCGTGGCGTTGGTCAAATAATCTATTTAATAATTAAAAATCTACTCATTTCACACTGATCAGTTCAATTAATTAACAGAGCGGATAAATAAATAAAAAACCAATCCAAAAAGATGATAAGATAAGACATCCTAAATTTACGTTTTTTCTTTTTAATTTAATTTCTCTAGATGAGTGAGAATTATTTTCATCAGGTATTATTTAATTGATCTGGATGACCTTCAATGGTGATTATTAATTGAGAAGATGGGGTAGCGAGAATTTTTGAATGTTCTTGATGAAGCTGAAAGGCCCTCGGCATAATGCGACCAGATCAATTGTCCTGTGGACATGTATAATATGTCCTCCGGTTTGTCCTGGAAATTCCGTTGACGGAGGACGAGGAGTTTGCGGGTCGGAGGGTTGAACCTGGGGAGAGGAAAAAACTGCAAAATTGTCGTGAAAGACTTGATGGACGGATGAATGAAGGTGGCCAATGTGGGCCGATTCCGGCATCTCATGTGACAGACACATCAGCTCGGTATTGTTTTCGTGGTCCTTTTTGATTGAATACGCAGCCCCTTTTGTCCTACCTCTCTTTCAGGCCTACCCCTTCGTCTTCCATCGTACCGCCTTTCCTCATCACCTATCGCTTTCTCCTTCCAACTTTCTTCAACGGTTGACAATGTAAAGAGAAAATATTGCAGTTATATATTGGCGATATGATCTTGCCAACTCGCGCCATTAATTTAAATATTGAGTAAGAAATTTCTTCCCGCAAATATTTATTTAATCGAAAAGTATTCGGTTTTTAACATTTTTTAAAAATTTGTATAAATTGTTCGATAAGGATTTTTAATGAAATTTAATTTTTATTCATTAGCTTCTAATAATTATAATTATATTCCTTTAAACAATAATTATTGTAGTAATAACCTTCAGTGGACATTCTCGATACTAATTAAAATCGAGAAAAAGCTGTAAAATGTTGTAAAAGTGAAAAATTATTTAAGATGGAAAAATCAAAAAAAGATATATTCTTCATGAATTAATACTCGAAACGTCGATCTGATGAATATCGATCCCATTCGATTCGAGCGATCGATATTTTTTTACTGAGAGT